TTCACCAAGAATATATGAATAATGAAATATTTGCCACTGGACGCTAAATAAATAACAATCGGTAAATCTTTACACACAGGAATTGATAAATAATTTTAAAAAAGGTAAATAGTAAATAAATAGCACTCACAATAAATAAAAATATAATCCACACTTTTGTTCGTATATAGTACAAATCATATAAAATCATATCTCCCTGTTTATATTTTGTAATCTATCTAGTATGAACATATTGTGTATCAATGATTAAATCGATACTGTTTCTACACAATCGAAATATTTGATGATAAAAACTTTCGTCGGTAAATGTCTTCCTGTTTTATGCAATGTTCCAATATTTATATAGTGACGATATATTTTGGTTTTCTGTCAAACATGTCTGTCATCTCTGGATATGTAGAAAGCCTGCATATCTATAAATTTTGATCATGACCAAAGAATTTGGAAGACTTCGTATAGTATTCAACCTAAAATAATAAAGAAAAACGGGCCTAAATACAAGAACAGAAAATGGGCTAAAAGTTCAGCAATGAAGACCCTTCATATGAACACGTTCAGCAATGTTTGGCTTTTTATTCAAGAAAACCTGGAGGTATTGAAAATTAAGGTGGTACCTAACACTACAGGGAGATAACTCTGTAAAAATCAGCTAAACGTTTTAATAACGTTGTATTGTATAGGAAATATTAAGCTTCTCAATGATCAAAATAAGTGTTTGTCAAACTGCTATATAACCAATGAAATTTTTCTGATAAAGTGGTTGGTTCAAATTTTTTGAAATTTTTATATTTTTGTCAAAGAGTCAAGTAAACATTTTGTCAAAATTTTATGAAAATTAAACGAGCCAAATTAATATTAGTCAAGGTGTTGGGTACCACCTTAATGTAATTTATATTAATAAATATTTTGAACTCAGAAAACTATGAATATAGTATAGATATGTTTATATGTAACCCATTAAGAATATTTGCCTGTTAATATTATGTATAATCTGTTATGCTTTTTAACTTATATGCGTATGGCTCTGGTCTGGCTGTGGTTTAAGATCTTAGAATTGAGAGATGATTATATTCATATCTATATATATGATTATCAAAAAAAATATTGTGCCAATCATCAAAATCATGATAATAAATTACTTTGCTCTTCATGGGCCCTTTAATTGGAATAAACATATCTTATCTTATCTATAATCTACTTTGGATTTCAAATTATGAAACAAGTTGCTTTCTTTAAAAAAAGAAAAGCAATACTTGAACCCAAGACCGCTGACTGGTCACCAAAAAATTGTTGCTGAAATTTTGTTTGCTTTTAAATTGAAATAATTGACTGTGAATAGAATAAGATAATGATGATGTTAAAACATATTTACTAAAAATGTGTAATTGTGTGAAGATTCTTGCACAAGTCAGTTGAAAGCGATGTTGGATAGTTGTGAATAGAAAAGTGTATATATACAGCCAGAAGTCCATTACTAGACGAAGTGTGCAACCTGTACTATATAGTAAGGCGATCACGATGTCCCCTTTATCAGTGGAAAGCGCCATTGGTGGTCCCCCCAAATCTCGTTTTATAACTATGGAATCATGGGTACAAATATTATCATTAAACAGATAGCTGTTAATTAGTCTCCTTGAGCGTTTGATTAATTATCAGTTTGTTGTAAATAAAGTGATCCGACTTAGTGTGGCGATTTCTTATTGCAAGTTATTTAACTTCTTCATTTTACTTCAACATTTAGAAAATGATATAAAATTTTATAAACGAATTCATTGGTATCATTTTTCATCGCGCAAAGGCAAATGAGAACTATAAAATCTGCCGTGTCGGACTAAAAATGTATCGTCTATCTAAAAGATATAGTTGTTTTTGTCAAAATATAGTCATAGTTTCCTCTTTTTTTAATAAATGTTGTGTTTGACGAATTATGTTTCGGTTATTTACGGCATCAAGGAAGCTATATACGGTGATGTGTAAGCAAATGACGGGGTTTTTTTCTTCGCTTCTACCAAGTAACAAAATAATATCCGACCATTTGTTGCTTTAGATGACTTCGAAACAATTTTGAATTTCAAAAGTCTCTTGTTTTTTAGCTTTTTTAGATTAAGAGACATACTTATCTCCTGTCTGTCCGTAATAACATTCGCCATCATTAAGATGTATACGTGAGTCAGTGTTGGAAAGTCCTTTTTGTTGTTTTATACTCACAAGACTGATGACATCCGTAGATCATGCGAAATTAAAAAAAATGTTTATCGTGTGTTGCTAGCTTAACGTTCAGTGGCAAATATATTATGCATATCCAATCAAAGAGTTGTCGCAAGTGTTATATAGCATCAGAGATCGTAACATTCATTCTGAAAACGCGTGGTAGTGGATTTAAAGTAGCCTGGGATCCTGGCTAACTGCTCGACGAAGTATTAGATTGGGTCAGGATGCCAGGCTAGATTTAAATTCCCTTCTCCGACCTGACGCGGCTGTTATTAATGTATACATCCCAAACTTGTAAGAAAGGGTTTTACTGCTGGAACTGGACAATTCCAGGGATTATTTTATTTCTTTACGGCACAACTTAACCCTTGAGATTGATTTAGTATTTGAACAAATTAAATCAAATTTTCCTTCGGTTAGGTTTTTGAAGTAGGACTTCGTCAAATTTCAGTCTGAAGTATACTTAGTAATACATAAAGAATCTATATTTATTACTCATTTGTTTACAAAGATCGTGATCGCAACTTTTCTTACAATTTTAACCTATTAAAATCGCACGTGTTGTGAACAGCATTTTTACATGTATTTTGACGGATAAATCATTAATGTAACAATATCTGACTGAAATGATAACCTTTGTTCGTCCACACCATCACCGAGGTAGTATTACCGTCAAGATCTCAGTCACGCAGGATCGAAGATATTCGAAATTGAAGAAAGGGCATACAATTATTTTCCCTTCTTTTTTCAAAATTGAGGGTACAATTTGTTAATTTTGCTAAAAATGGTTATATCTACAGAAATCCCTTGTAACTTTAGAAAAAAATCTTATTTCTTGAAATTTGTAAATCGTAACATATTCTTAAAATAAATATAATATAAAGTTTATTCCTATTAAACTCATTCCTAATACTCAAGTGTTACTTGTACTGTATATGGATACACAATTTTCCGACCTAATTTTCCTTGCCAACTTTTTAATGGCAATTTGTTCACAATTAATTCTAAAACCAAATGTTTATTGTACTAAGAAGTCACGGAGCTTCTTTTTTTTTCATTCCGTTTGACAATTTTTCTACGTAAGTTGATAAATTATACAAACATTTTTATTATTTAATATAAAAACCATCATAATGTCTCATGACACTGATATGATATGGCATCGATAGGGTCTGCTATTCATTAACACGTCGATAATCAAATATTACTTTCAACTGTGTGCCAATTAAGTTACAGGGTGTTTTGCATAAATTGGCTTTACCCAGAATGCATCACAAAAAGTTTGGCCATTGAATTTTGTTACTATTAATAGCAATCGCGCTCAAATCCCGTTTCAATCACGGTTGGAAGTACGGGGACAATGTGATCGCCTTACTATATAGCGGGTTGCACACTTCGTCTAGTAATGGACTTCTGATACAGCTACTATTTGAATATACATTTTAAGGATCGGCCATTTTAATTATAACTTGGGAGTGTACATCATTTTTTTCATAATCCTATTGCAAATCCCAGTTTCTGCAAACCGGATGTCTAATGCAAATTGTACAAACCAATCGCAATATAAATTTAAGCACTCAGTTTGCTTTATAATCTGGATGCATTTATTTTATCTATCATATCTTCATATTTTGTTTCCTGGATGCCTTCAATTATTCTTAACTCGTTAATTAAGCTGTCTGTACTCATGGTAGATGTATATAGATAAATTTAAAGTCCAATTTCCATGTGAAGTGAAACTCTGTGGCATGTAACTTATAAGAAGGTTTCGTATATTTTTCTTGAGGATAACACACCAGCTTCATTGGGACCTCTTATATAGAGACTTATTTTTGGTCTCATAAAACATCTCAAATTTTAAGGATGTCCTGATTTTACTTAAATTAATCCAAATATTCTACAGGAATACTTGGTTTTGAAGAATATCTTATTTTCAGAAGTTTAATGAATACCTGAACATACTCTCAAAAGAACCAATTTATATAAAAAGATATGTAGATATAAAAAGATACCAGGATTAAAATGTTGTACGCCAGACGCGAGTTAAGTCTACAAAGAAACACCAGTGACGCTCGAATAAAAAAAGTTAAAAAGGCCAAATAAAGTACAAAGTTGAAAGGAATTCAGGACCCAAAATTTTGAAACAAAGGTTTTGCCGAATACATCTAAAGTAATCTATTCCTGGGGTAGAAAATCCTAAGCATTTTGAAAATGTCAAAGTATATAATAGGACAGTGACTCAAAAAATAAAAGATAAGAGAAACAGCTAGAGGTCAGGATACCGTAAGTAATGATGACCGTGCTTGAAAGTCACATGTCAAGCTCTTACTGCCGTGTCCTGGATTTAGATAAGAAAAGCGAAAATTCACATTCGCGAGCGAAATTAATATTTATGCATGCACATGGTATGTTTGAGAAAGAAATAGTAAATAGTAAATAGAAAGCATACGCACTGATACTCTGGATAATAATACGCATTTTCGTCATCACATATATTAATCTAATAGTTGAATTCGGATGTCAAACTACCTACCTCAAGTGTTTTGACTCCGGATTCATTGACATTTTATCCGGAATTTTTGTGAACGCAAACCGATAGTGTGCATGTGAACAGGGTGATATATAATGTGAATGATAGCTGGTCAACACAATGAATAAAATTTTCAAAATCGTACCATAGAACAAATAGTTAGATGCTTTGAGGTTGAACTATTAAAACAAACAAACAAAAAAAAGAATTGAAATTTTATAATTAACATACATTCTTGTTAGTGAATTTTTCCGAAAATTTAGAATATAATATCAATAAACACAAACGTCAAGTATTTACGGATGGACATTTTATTTATCAAATTAATCTCTTTCTAAAGTCTAACATTCCACTATATGAATATATTGCTAAACAAAATATAAGCAGAGACTTATTAATCCATACTAAAACAGTATAGAATAATTAACATTATGATAGTAATTAAATTTTGTTATGATTATTGTAAAACATTAATTACGTTTTTTGTGAGATGCAATAATTTAACATCCTTGTGAATTCAAACCATGCAAGCATTTTTTTCATTCACGACCGTTTAAAATTTAGATATTTAGCTAACTTTGGGTACGCATCCCTGCTCATTGGTGCTCATACGTTGGATATTATTTTCATAATGTAATGACTGTTCAAAACTGTGAGACATAATGCACGTTTATATGACAATTTTAATTATATTAATATATTAAGAATAAATTCTGTCTCAGTTTAAACTTAATAATGAATATTCTTTGATCTGGTAGTATCTATTAATGAAATTAGATATTTTTGACAGAACAATCCTTTTGTTTGATTATCTTTCTGCTTTCCGACCACTGTGTTTTATAAATATTTTTAACAGAAATATCGTTTTCTTAATTTTCTTCATGCTTTCCGACATTTTTCCATGCTATGATTGAAATACAAAATATCAAATGATAAAAGTTCAGAAATAATCAGTTTATTCTGGGACATTATATATCAATAAACTATTCCAAGGTTTATTGTCACAATGCACAACATCACGTTGTGTTAAAAATACTACACACACAACGCGTACAGGGACCGTCTCAAAGAATGAATTATATAATTGCGTTTTCATTATACTTGATATTTAATAAACATTCACATTATTAAAACACATATGTTTTGTCAAAAGGCAAATAGGTTCTAACATATAAATGATTTTTTGACTGCAACCTAGTCTTTATTGTTTTACTTTCCAATCTAAACATGAACTTTAATTGTTGAATTATACAATGTCACGTGGTAGCCTATATATATCATAGAGGGACCGTATCAAAGACATAGATAACTACCTGTATATATAAATAATCGAAAAATTTTGAGACGTTCCGAGAATCTAGATTCCGAGGATATCGAATGGCCCATAGACACTTCGAAAACTCACAAAGTGAGGGGTTCACGCAAAAAATTATCTTATTGTAAATCTTTAAACATTCCTCTTTGACACACAATTTACAAAATAATTTATGTAGTGTAGATCAAAAGAAATTATAAGTAAATAACTAGATCTTGCACTTCAATATATCAATCTTCTAGCATACTATGAGGTATGTGAGCTAATCAGATGTACATACATGATGATGACGAATATTAACATGATATGATTTTGATTGTTTTGTCACTTTTATGAAAAGATTACATTTTGGATACTAGTAATAGTTGATTTGAGAGAGTCCACATATGGTCATATTTGATGATCGAGTCATAAAGAAGGTTTCTTGGTAACCTTAAAACATTAGTGTTCTATGTTCTGCACTTTGGTATTTGGTGAAAGCTGCTACTGTTGGAATGGTCTTTTCTTTTCATATGTATATACTTTATTGATTCAGTTTTAACAAAATATGAACAGTTTCACAGAATGAACTATGACCGATGGTGACTAATGGGTCCTATGGGATGTATTGTTGTCTGTTGTCTTAAAATGGCTGGTGGTAAATAACGTTTTTCTCTGTTCTTTCTACACTGTAAAAATGGAAATGTCTTGAATTAAAGTTTTAATTCAAAAAAGAAAAATATTTAGAATTAGATTAAACACACAAAAGAGCAAGAATTAGTCTAACTGAATATCACATTCGGTGGCATGTTAAAGGTCTTTGAGGTAAACGTATACTTACTTAGATCTTCTTTCATAAAGTTATCTATTCTTATAATGAATGAGGTGGGTGTTAACAACTATATAGGTCATCGTGCGGCCAATAACAATGACCAGAACCCGTACTTAAGACAAGCCATTCTCGTCAAAACTATGTTTAAGCCATTTTTCGAAAGTTAAATCACACTGATAATTTTAAAAAAATGTCAATGTGTAATTTGTAATTCTCTGTGTGTGTTTGTAAGTGTTTTTATCTGTGTGTGTATTTTTTTTTATAAAACAGACAACAACCACCGATTTACAGGCTCATGACTCTAAAGAGAAACATAAAGAATGTTGCGAGGCAAAACATATTTGTAAGAATAAAAATAAACCAAAAAACACACAAAAAATAATAAACAAGTACTGGAAGGTAATGAAAACTATAGTTCAAAGCCAATGTCCACTATTGAATAACCATGTTTTCCAAGACTAAAAAAATTACAATTTGATTATAATTCAGATATATCGTATCTCGCTTAGTCGTATGAGGATAACGAAATCAGAGATCTATATTTCAATTAGATTGAAAAATCAATCAGTACATATCCAACGGATTCAGCCTGTACATAAAGACATCATAAAAAAGCGAATGTTCGTCAATTCGTCTTTCCCAAAAAACATGTTATGCCGTAAATCCACAATAATTTATCTACACAATGTTGTACAACATGCCTACATTTCAGTTTATGCCTAAATTAATTTGTGGCAGGTCTTTAAAGTAGGTCAACAGTCCGATGTCCTCTACTCACAATAAAGTATTACACCAATTCAAAGAATGTTCGCAGTACTGAAACGCTACATATTGCTGAAGGTACTGTATATACTTCAGCCGATGTTAAAAATCATGGTTTCTCAAACTATGATTCCTTGTCGATTCCACAACACGGAACTAAAACAGTGAATGACAATACTATTTTGTGCAAAAATGGCATTTTCAGTATTTCATTACAAATGTTCATTGAAGAAAAATAACCTTATATGGTATGATGTAACCTTAACATTGGCTATACCTTCTGTGCTATTCCTTTGACGCATTGGACACAGGCCTGAAATTTAAAAATAAGAACATGTAAACAGAAGAAATTTTTTTTACGACGCGTATTTTTTATTTGGTCATAAAACACCTTAAATGGACAAACTTTTGTTGGTATTTTTTACGTTTGGCAGTGTAGTAGTTTTTTTTATTATTTCCGTACTCCTCAAAAAATAAATTTGTGTGATATTTTTGTGTTGCACTGCACATTTTGTACACGCGTAACCCCCTCCCCTAAAAAAAAAAAGAAGAACCACTAACAAAAACAAACAAAAACTTAAGTTTGGGCTTAGGAATTTTGATCGTTGATGGTATATCATCTTTAGATCTGGGACTATTATACTATTAGTAGTATAATAGTCCCAGTTTAGATGTAGATGTAAAATAAGTATCTCGATTGTGGAATATGGGATCAAAAAACGGTTACACATTTCAGATTTAAAACATTTATTTCTTATTAGATATAGGAAGATGTGGTATGAGTGCCAATGAGACAACTCTCCATCCAAGTTACAATTTATAAAAGTAAACCATTATAGGTCAAGGTACGGCCTTCAACACGGAGCATTGGTTCAAACCGAACAGCAAGCTATAAAGGGCCCCAAAGAATTACTAGTGTAAAACCATTTGTTGATTTGTGACATTTTCGTTTTGGTAAATGGTTGTTCTGCCTAAAGGGCATTATTTCCAGTTAAGCAAAAAGTCTATCTGTTATTTTGGATCATTTTGGTTCAAATTTACTTCTATGGGATGATGTAGTTGCCGCGTATATCATTAAATTGTTGTATGCTTAAATGAATTTGGTGAGTAATTATCAGAGGCCAAGTTGAATGTTTGGTGTATATAATAGACGAACATGACGAACAGGAAAATAGAAATTACCAAAAATATTGGACTGTAAAACAGACCACACGAATCACCAACACATTAATCCTGCGTTAAAGTGGACGTTCAAACGAAAACAAACATCAACGAACATCACATGAGCTATATAACCTTATTTGGTACATGACCTGTATATGTCAAATTCATTGTGCGATGAAATATATTGCCACGCAGTTGCATTAGTTATGATAAATTTCATTGTTGAGACAATTGAATGTGTAAACCTGTTCAACTTAATTAAAGCCGCTAAAAAGAAGATATTCCTTAAAAAAGTGTACTTAGTACTACTTACTTTTCTATTAAAAAAGATAATCACTGCAGTTAAAACCAGGACAGTAACTCCTACTCCCGTTAGTATATATGGTACAATGTTAAGATGCTGTAAACAGTAACAATCACTGTCATGATTAATAACATTTTATCATGTAATAAATTATATAATTCAAGATATACAATCAGTTAAAACTTTAGGCTAAGGAGTATGTAATTTTGCGGTATTTCCGATTTTTATGAAAGTTACATTTAGGACATGTTAAACTGTGTCTGAATATCGAAAACAATATACATGTAGTATTTGTACTTCCTGATATACAATCAGTTAAAACTTTCTGAAAAAGATCTATTTTATAGATTGCACACGTAAAAAAGCATTTTGTTCAATTTGAATCGTGACTAATGTTAATTCCGTCCTTAGAATTTTGTTTAGAAATTATACGTAATTGCTCTGATCTTTATTTTTAGCTCACCTGACCTGAAAGGTCAAGTGAGCTTTTCTCATCACTTTGCGTCCGTCGTCCGTCGTCCGTCGTCCGTAAACTTTTACAAAAATCTTCTCCTCTGAAACTACTGGGCCAAATTTGACCAAACTTGGCCACAATCATCATTGGGGTATCTAGTTTAAAACATGTGTCCGGTGACCCAGTCAACCAACCAAGATGGCCGCCATGGCTAAAAATAGAACATAGGGGTAAAATGTAGATTTTGGCTTATATCTCTGAAACCAAAGCATTTAGAGCAAATCTGACATGGGGTAAAATTGTTTACCAGGTCAAGATCTATCTGCCCTAAAATTTTTAGATGAATCGGACAACCCGTTGTTGGGTTGCTGCCCCTGAATTGGTAATTTTAAGGAAATTTTGCCGTTGGTTATTATCTTGAATATTATTATAGATAGAGATAAACTGTAAACAGCAATAATGTTCAGCAAAGTAAGATCTACAAATAAGTTAACATGACCAAAATGGTCAGTTGACCCCTTAAGGAGTAATTGCCCTTTATAGTCAATTTTTAACCATTTTTCGTAAATTTTTGTAATCTTTTACAAAAATCTTCTCCTCTGAAACTACTAAGACAAATTTAACCAAACTTGTCCACAATCATCATAAGGGTATATAGTTTAAAAAATGTGTCCGATGACCCCGCCTGCGAACCAAGATGGCCGACATGGCTAAAAAATAGTACATAGGGTAAAATGCAGTTATTGGCTCATATCTCTGAAACCAAAGCATTTAGAGCAAATCTGATCAGGATACAATTGTTCATTAGGTCAAGATCTATCTGCCCTGAAATTTTCAGACCAATCAGGCAACCCGTTGTTGGGTTGCTGCCCCATGAATTGGTAATTTTAAGGAAATTTTGCCGTTTTTGGTTATTATCTTGAATATTATTATAGATAGAGATAAACTGTAAACAGCAATAATGTTCTGCAAAGTAAGATCTACAAATAAGTCAACATGACCAAAATGGTCAGTTGACCCCTTAAGGAGTTATTGCCCTTTATAGTCAATTTTTAACCATTTTTCGTAAATTTTTGTAATTTTTTACAAAAATCTTCTCCTCTGAAACTACTAGGACAAATTTAACCAAACTTGTCCACAATCATCATAAGGGTATCTAGTTTAAAAAATGTGTCCGGTGACCCAGCCCGCGAACCAAGATGGCCGACATGGCTAAAAAATAGTACATAGGGTAAAATGCAGTTTTTGGCTCATATCTCTGAAACAAAGCATTTAGAGCAAATCTGATGAGGATAAAATTGTTAATTAGGCCAAGATCTATCTGCCCTGAAATTTTCAGACCAATCAGGCAACCCGTTGTTGGGTTGCTGCCCCTGAATTGGTAATTTTAAGGAAATTTTGCCGTTTTTGGTTATTATCTTGAATATTATTATAGATAGAGATAAACTGTAAACAGCAATAATGTTCAGCAAAGTAAGATCTACAAATAAGTCAACATGACCAAAATGGTCAGTTGACCCCTTAAGGAGTTATTGCCCTTTATAGTCAATTTTTAACCATTTTTCGTAAATTTTTGTAATTTTTTACAAAAATCTTCTCCTCTGAAACTACTAAGACAAATTTAACCAAACTTGTCCACAATCATCATAAGGGTATATAGTTTTAAAAATGTGTCCGATGACCCCGCCTGCGAACCAAGATAGCCGACATGGCTAAAAAATAGTACATAGGGTAAAATGCATTTTTTGGCTCATATCTCTGAAACCAAAGCATTTAGAGCAAATCTCATGAGGATAAAATTGTTCATTAGGTCAAGATCTATCTGCCCTAAAATTTTCAGACCAATCAGGCAACCCGTTGTTGGGTTGCTGCCCCATGAATTGGTAATTTTAAGGAAATTTTGCCGTTTTTGGTTATTATATATTTGGCACAATAGATAGAGATAAACTGTAAACAGCAATAATGTTCTGCAAAGTAAGATCTACAAATAAGTCAACATGACCAAAATGGTCAGTTGACCCCTTAAGGAGTTATTGCGCTTTATAGTCAATTTTTAACCATTTTTTCGTAAATTTTTTGTAATTTTTTACAAAAATCTTTTCCTCTGAAACTACTAAGACAAATTTAACCAAACTTGTCCATAATCATCATAAGGTATCTAGTTTAAAAAATGTGTCCGATGACCCCGCCCGCGAACCAAGATGGCCGACATGGCTAAAAAATAGTACATAGGGTAAAATGCAGTTTTTGGCTCATATCTCTGAAACAAAGCATTTAGAGCAAATCTGATGAGGATAAAATTGTTAATTAGGCCAAGATCTATCTGCCCTGAAATTTTCAGACCAATCAGGCAACCCGTTGTTGGGTTGCTGCCCCTGAATTGGTAATTTTAAGGAAATTTTGCCGTTTTTGGTTATTATCTTGAATATTATTATAGATAGAGATAAACTGTAAACAGCAATAATGTTCAGCAAAGTAAGATCTACAAATAAGTCAACATGACCAAAATGGTCAGTTGACCCCTTAAGGAGTTATTGCCCTTTATAGTCAATTTTTAACCATTTTTCGTAAATTTTTGTAATTTTTTACAAAAATCTTCTCCTCTGAAACTACTAAGACAAATTTAACCAAACTTGTCCACAATCATCATAAGGGTATATAGTTTTAAAAATGTGTCCGATGACCCCGCCTGCGAACCAAGATAGCCGACATGGCTAAAAAATAGTACATAGGGTAAAATGCATTTTTTGGCTCATATCTCTGAAACCAAAGCATTTAGAGCAAATCTCATGAGGATAAAATTGTTCATTAGGTCAAGATCTATCTGCCCTAAAATTTTCAGACCAATCAGGCAACCCGTTGTTGGGTTGCTGCCCCATGAATTGGTAATTTTAAGGAAATTTTGCCGTTTTTGGTTATTATATATTTGGCACAATAGATAGAGATAAACTGTAAACAGCAATAATGTTCTGCAAAGTAAGATCTACAAATAAGTCAACATGACCAAAATGGTCAGTTGACCCCTTAAGGAGTTATTGCGCTTTATAGTCAATTTTTAACCATTTTTTCGTAAATTTTTTGTAATTTTTTACAAAAATCTTTTCCTCTGAAACTACTAAGACAAATTTAACCAAACTTGTCCACAATCATCATAAGGTATCTAGTTTAAAAAATGTGTCCGATGACCCCGCCCGCGAACCAAGATGGCCGACATGGCTAAAAAATAGTACATAGGGTAAAATGCAGTTTTTGGCTCATATCTCTGAAACCAAAGCATTTAGAGCAAATCTGATGAGGATAAAATTGTTCATTAGGTCAAGATCTATCTGCCCTGAAATTTTCAGACCAATCAGGCAACACGTTGTTGGGTTGCTGCCCCTGAATTGGTAATTTTAAGAAAATTTTGCAGCTTTTGGTTATTATCTTGAATATTATTATAGATAGAGATAAACTGTAAACGGCAATAATGTACAGCAAAGTTAGATCTACAAATAAGGCAAACATGACCAAAATTGTCAATTGACTCCTTAAGGAGTTATTGCCCTTCATAGTAAATTTTTTACAATTTTCATAAATTTTGTAAATTTTTGTAAATTTTTACAAAGTATTTTCCACTGTAACTACCGGGCCAAGTTCATTATAGATAGAGATAATAGTAAGGAGCAAGAATGTTCAGTAAAGTAAGATCTACAAACACATCACCATCACCAAAACACAATTTTGTCATGAATCCATCTGTGTCCTTTGTTTAATATGCACATAGACCAAGGTGAGCGACACAGGCTCTTTAGAGCCTCTAGTTATAATACTATACAACTAAAGCACGTGACAAAACATAAATAAAAAACAATACCGTTATACAATGTTTCAATAAATATTTCAAGAGTCCCCTGTCCTCATTATGACATCCGGAAGTTGTAGAGGTCAAAAGCTTCTGTTTCTGTCTAAATATTGAATATAGCAGAAAAACATCTAATAAAACACAGACCGGACGTGATAGGGTTAACATCACTAACAACAAAAAAGACACAAAAAAACTGGTCTGAAAGTACTCGCAGTTATTGACAGCTAGTTGAAAGAACTAATAAAAAAATCATGTATCTAAGACTAGATATCAATCAGTTCACATCCAATATCCAATGAATTTAGTGTAAAGACGTTATTAACAGTCAGAGAAAAACATGACCTTGTGCAATACCAAAATATAGGTATCGACAGATTGTAGTACCGTGAATGTGGATATGGTTATAATAATAGTATTTATTATGGTTTAAATTTACTAATAACAAAATAAATATAAATACCAATAAAACCAATATTCAAAGATCTAATTACAGTGTTGAATGTAGTAACCTTTTAGAATAAGTTTATTTGATGGATTGATAAGTTTACCCAGATCTTATCTAATAACATAAACGGTACCAATTTTTATGCACCAGATGCGCATTTCGACAATCAATGTCTCTTCAGTGATGCTCGAGGCCAAAATATTTGAAAATCCAAAGCTTATTAAAAGGCTGAAGAGCTATAAACCAAAAAGGACAAAAAAGTATAGCCAAAGCCGGGCAAGGAATCAGAGCTTTGCATGAGGGAGATACATTCCTTAATTTTAAATAATTAAATTTCCGAGCTCGGTAAACAACATCACCGTAAAAATTTGGATGTGCTGTTCCCTTTGAAATAAGTTTTCTACAGGTAAATCCAAACCAAATCTTTGTATCTATGGAAGAATTTAGTAAAAGTTTTTTAAAAGTAATTTGTGGTAACGAAATCCCTGACTTAATATTTTATCAATAATACATAGACTACGCTCATTGAAATCAAAACGTCACAAGGCACGGTCATAGAGAACGAGTTGGGATATACCGGTATAAACACCGTATGAATATACGCAAACAAATTACAAGATACCAAAATTGTGGTGATGCACCGTATGCATTTTTTATTTATTAGTTGATTGATTGATTGTCGTCCAGTAGCAAATATTTCAGGCCGACAACACATTAATAATCAATACAATAAGTAGATCGACCATAATAAAACAGAGGATTTGAAAGTTGTCATTGGAAAGCACCATATAGAAAATTAAGTACAATAAAGTTAAACACGAAATTTTTTAGCGTGTTACATTACTCAAACCTATGAAAACTTGTAAATTAATTCAAGATCTGCCATCTACACTTAACTCTTTAAAAGTAAAAAAAAACATAAGATACATGTATACATATATCTAAAATAGCAACCGACGAGGATCATGGCAACAATGTGCATAAAAACATTTGGCGACCGGCGCTATATTAGCTCTGTTGGGGGCACTTGTACCTATTCCCCCCCCCCCCCCCCCCCACACACACGCAATTTTAATATTGACTAGTTGATGTATGGATGGGTATTGATGGATTGGTGCGTAACTTTCAGGTACAGTGGAAAATATTGCATGCATCATGACCAGACAACATTAAGTTATATGAAACCTGCTTTGTACTATTTGACACGGTCGGTCGGATTTTTAACATGCTAACGTATACAAGGTAACAGTCCACAGAAGAAAAAAACAATTCTCCCTTCAGAGACGCCTTATTCTTAAATGTCCACATGCTTAGCAGAGAAGCAGCAAATACCATTTTTTCAAATCTTTCTTTGACTCGACCAAGGATCAAAGCAACAACCTCCTTCACTTCAAGCGAACACGGTACCACAAGACCACCGTAGCAGTATGTCTAATTGATTAACAGGCACACAGAAGATCATACACTACAGATAACTTATTAATATACTCACAAAGTATATGTGAAAATACTTAAGAACCTATCCACCTATTGATAAAGGACAAAGGCGCTCTCTTGTTGTAGACTAAAAGACACTAATCAGACTTCACTGTATAATTTGAAAATGAGATTTTATATAATACTTACAAATTCTGTACACTCGTCGCCTATTTTCACTTCAAACGAATAGCTGAAATATAATCAAACATATATAATATCAGTAACATTTAATTTATTTATTATTATTTTTTTTCTAGATTTAGCATCCCTCATTTCTTTCTCATAACTTACTTGTATGTCCATCGTTAACATTTAGAACTTCTATAATACTACTGTGTAATAGTTGTAACGAATTCGAAGATGAGTATCATTTCTTTTTTTTTTTCATCTGTAATAAATTATTCAAAGTTCTCAGATTCTGAAATTCAACACAAATTATCGGACAAAGCTTCATGTTTTTCCTGGTCAACTGTTTACTGTTGACTACAAGTGTTGTACACTTAACACTGTCCTTTCCTTTCCTGGATCTTGATATCTATATCTTTAACGGGATGCTTAGTACTAAAATTTTCGAAAAAGAGATGATTTTAAGTTTCCTATTGTTAATTATCCATTTTTAGATCATGACGTTCCCTTGTCACCACCTTATGGTGTTTATATATCTCAACTTGTTCGATTCGGTCGTGTATGTAACAACGTATTTAAATTTAACCAAAGAAATCTCTGTATTACATTTACTAAATTTTATCATCGGTACAAGGACATCATTCGTAAATATAAATCAACATACAGACATCTTATACGTTCAGGTATTTCACATCCAATATTTTATGGTAATATTCTTTACAAAGCACAAAAATGTCGGCATTCACCTCACAATCTTATCAAACATTTAAACAGACTTATTCAGAAGGGATATAGTTACAATACTGTTGTCAGGTCATTAAAGATGGCATATTTTGGTATTAATATTGATTCACTAATAGGGTCTTTGCATCGGAAATAAACACATTTATTCTAAAACCAGTTGTAGGCATGATACGGGTAATGTTCTTCTCATATATTTTATGATGGTATGATACTAAACCCCTTACGGGAGGGAGTGTGCTTGATTTTCATATGATGAAGACATAATCTTTCAATCAGTTTGATTGAGGTATGGAGCTGGCATGTCAGTAACTGCTAGTAGTCCTTTGTTAATTTATGTATCATTGTCATTTCACTTAGTTTCTTTTGTTATCTATTCTGACATCGGACTCGGACTTCTTTTGAACTGAGCATTGGCTAGAGGTATACGGGGAGGGTTGAGATCTCACAAAACATGTTTAACCCCGCCGCATTTTTGCGCCTGTCCCAAGTCAGGAGCCTCTGACCTTTGTTAGTCTTGTATGATTTTTAATTTTAGTTCATTTATATGTTTGGAGTTTAGTATGATGTCCATTTTCACTGCATGAACTAGTGCACATTGTTGTTAAGGGGCCAGCTGAAGCCCGCCTCCGGGTGCGGGATTTTCTCGCGGTGTTGAAGGCTCATTGGTGGCCTTGGGCTGTTTTCTGCTCTTTGGTCGGGTTGTTGTCTCTTTGACACATTCCCTATTTCCATTCTCAATTTTATTCACCTCAAAAGCTAACCAAACCTTTAAACAGACTTATTCAGAAGGAATATAGTTACGATACTGTTGTTAAAGATGGCATTTACTGGAATTAATATTGATTCACCCATATGGTCTTTGCGTCGGAACGAAACACATTTATTCTAAAACCAGTTATTGGCATGATACGGGTTATGTTCTTCTCGTATATGTTATGATGGTATGATACTAAACCCCTTACGGGAGGGATTGTGCTTGATTTTCATATGATGAAGACATAATCTTACAATCAGTTTAATTGAGGTCTTGAGCTGGCATGTCAGTAACTGCTAGTAGTCCTTTGTTAATTTATGTTCATCATTGTCATTTTGCTAAGTTTCTTCTGTTACCTTATCTAACATCGGACTTGGACTTCTTTTAAACTGAGTTTTACTGTTTTTATTCCACATTGGATAGAGGTATAGGGGGAGGGTTAAGATCTCACAAATAAAATTGAGAATGGAAATGGGGAATATGTCAAAGAGACAACAACCCGACCAAAGAGCAGACAACAGCCCAAGGCCACCAATTGGTCTTCAACGCAGTGAGAAAATCCCGCACCCGGAGATGGTCCTCAACTGACCCCTAAATAAAATTGTGTTCTAGTTCAGTGAAAATGGACGTCACACTAAACTCCAAAACATATAAATGAACTAGAATTAAAAAACATACAAGACTAACAAAGGTCAGAGGCTCCTGACTTGGGACAGGCGCAAAAATGCGGCGGGATTAAACATGTTTTGTGAGATCTCAACCCTCCCCTATACCTCTAGCCAATGTAGAATAAAGAAACACATAGCAATACGCACAGTAAAACTCAGTTTAAAAGAAGTCCGAGTCCGATGTCAGAATAGGTAACAAAAGAAACTAAGCAAAATGACAATGATACATAAATGAACAAAGGACTACTAGCAGTTACTGACATATGCCAGCTTCAGACCTCAATTAAACTGATTGAAAGATTATGTCTTCATCATATGAAAATCAAGCACAATCCCTCCCGTTAGGGGTTTAGTATCATACCATCATAAAATATATGTTAGGAACATAACCCGTATCATGCCAACAACTGGTTTTAGAATAAATGTGTTTATTTCCGATGAAAAGACCCTATGAGTGAATCAATATTAATACCAAAACATGTTTAACCCTGTCGCATATTTGCGCCTGTCCCAAGTCAGGAACCTCTGGCCTTTATTATTCTTGTATGTTTTTTTAATGTTGGTTCATTTATATGTTTCGGAGTTAAGTGTGACTTCCATTTTCGCTGAACTAGTATACATTATTGTTTAGTGGCCAGCTGAAGCTTGCCTCCGGGTGCGGGATTTTCTCGGTGTGTTGAAGACCCATAGATGGCCTTCGGCTGTTTTCTGCTCTTTGGTCGGTTTGTTGTCTCTTGGAATCTTTCCCCGTTTCCATTCTCAATTTTAAGGCATATATATTGCTAGAAGCCTTTATTCTTCATTAAAAAGTGAAAAAATAAAACTCTTCACTAGTTTTAACCTAACTATGTCTGATTGATCGATTCCCGGTTCTTACTGAAAGAATAGCTTAGATAAAGTCAGCAATGTTGAGGTTATTAGCATATTTACTTGTTGTACACATTATGTGCCTGTAAGTGGTTATCAAGCCTGCATGTTGCATTAGGATGTTTTAGACAAGTATCTGATTGACTTTTCCGACCTTTCTCGTCTTCACACAACGTATAGTTTTCTTTTCCGAAGTAGACTTTTGCTACGATTACATTTATGAACTGAAAATAAAGATAATAAAATAAAGTTAGTCATTATTTCAACATTTTATGGCATAATCAACAATTGACAAGATCGTCATATCCAACAATTGACCTATTGACATGGATAATCTCACTTAATCACACTAGAAGAAAATTCTTAATCAGTTAATTGTCTAAAGGGAGATAACCGTCATTTCCAAACTGGCTTAATCATGTTAATGGTGCTATAAAATAAGAAAAATATGTGGTATGGGATTGCAAATGAAACAACTCTCCACCAAAAACAAAATGAAGTTAATAAAAGCAATAAACAAATATGATATACAGCAACAAACGAAAACCACTGAATTACAGGCTCCTGGCTTTGGACAGACACATGACATACATTAAAGAAGACAACAAATATAATACATCTAAAGTAAACTTTATATTTCCGTATATCGTCAAGTTATCGGAATTCCAATGGGAACTAACTGTGGACCACTTATTGCGGACCTGTTTCTGTATTGTTATGATTTACAATTTATGACTAAAATCAGCAAAGACCCATCGAAACAACATCTGATACAAAAATTTAATAACACTTTTTATAGATATTTGGATGATATATTGGCTCTCAATAATGACGACTTGAGTATGTACACTAAACAGATTTATCCTGCTGAAAAGACTTTAAATAAAGCTAATACTAACAATGAACACTGTCCTTTCCTGGATCTTGATATCTATATCTTGAACGGGAAGCTTAATACCAAAATTTACGATAAAAGAGATGATTTTTCTTTTCCTATTGTTAATTATCCATTTTTAGATGGTGACGTTCCCTTGTCACCATCTTATGGTGTTTATATATCTCAACTTGTTCGATTCGGTCGTGTATGTAACAACGTATTTGATTTTGACTAAAGAAATCTCTGTATTACTGAAAGATTATTGCACAAGGGTTTTCGATATCACAAACTAGTCAAAACATTTACTAAATTTTATCATCGGTTTCGGAGTTTAGTGTGACGTCCATTTTCACTGAACTAGTACACATTTTTGTTCAGCTGAAGCCCGCCTCCGGGTGCGGGATTTTCTCGCTGTGTTGAAGACCCATTGGTGGCCTTGGGCTGTTTTCTGCACTTTGGTCGGGTTGTTTACATTCTCAATTTTATTGTTTTGTTATAAATTAGGCCATTAGTTTTCTCAATGGAATTGTTTCATATTTTTGTCGGGGACTTTTATACCCACTATCCGGTATGGAGTTTTCTCATTGTTGAAGGCCGAACGGTTGCCTAAAATTGGTTACATTCACTTCATTTGAACTTTGTCGGATAGTTGTCTCATTGGCAATCATACCACATCTCCTTATTTTTATATTCACTAAACTCTACTGAATAATGCTATGATATATAGTATATTGGTCGACCATTATCATAAAATGCCTACCTTTTCGCTGCATTTAAACACATGTTTATAGCCAATGTTTGGTTCGAATTTAGATGAAAAGCAGGTGCTGTTTGCATTATCACACCTAAAATGATAGGGACATAATATTTTAATTAATTCTCATTCTAAAGATGTTATGGTATTTAAGTGAAACTGTATCTCTTTTATTATAAGAGGGACCTCCGTGGCTGAGTGGTCTAAGGAGTCGAAATACTGTATCACTAGCTGGCCTTTCAACACTGAGATCCGCCCGTGGTAGGTGGGCTCGGCTTCAGTCTTAATTGTCAGTTTTCCTACCGAAGGTCGGTTGTTCTCTCCGGGAAGTCCGGCTTCCTCCATCAATAAAAACTGACCGCCACGCAATAGCACAATAGTGCTGAAACTGGCGTTAAACACCAATCAATCAATCAATCAATCTTTATTATAAAAAGACCATCCGTTTTTGAATGTCTGTAGTAGACTGATCTTGGATAGCTGATTGTATACGATTTGGGTGTCGCTCATTGTTGAAGGCCGTACTGTGACCTAGCTATAGATGCTTACATCCAGGTCATTTTGACTTTGGAGGATATTTATCCCATTGACAATCATACCACATCTCCTTAAATTTTATATTGGTATTTAGAAACGTTTGAAGTAGAAGTTTTATTTCTGTTTACATATTAGTTTGCAGTAGACTCGATATTTCGGAAAGTTTGTAATTTGCAATATTCTCCCTCTTTTTACATTGACGTAAGGCGAACACACTAACAGATTCTGTCATAGTGAAGTTTTACATTAGTGAGTTTATCTACGGTTACATTTTCAACATGAGCGGATGTTTTGTGTTATAAGCGTTTTAAAAACATTCCTTCCCACAAGAGCACATTATTGCAATATCATTAATGAAGGGATAATATTTGCACATTTCGTATAAAACAACATATACTTTTACGAAACCTTATTTATGTTATAGAACAATTATGTTCTAATGTGTTCTGAAAAAAAAAACATACTAACCCACCAGTACATATTGCTATGGTAACGTTACTACAAGATGGCGATCGGGGACACGTGGCGTTTAAGATTTGGATACTCGTTCCTTGGATGAGATCTGTACATCTAAACAACTGAAAAGATATCCAAAGTATAGTTAAGTGATGGAATGGTTTATTAGGTTAACAAATATGTAAAAAAATATATGATTTTTAGTTGTTTGGTTGCTGTCTCATTGACGTACACACGGCCACAACTCCTTGATTAATTTTGGTACAAACTAGTTATAACACAAATGGAAAATACAACAAGTACATAAATTCATCACAGATACCAGGATTGAAATTCTGTACGCCAGACGCGCGTTTCGTCTACGAAAGACTCACCAGTGACGCTCGAATCAAAAAAGTTAAAAAGGCCAAATCGAGGACGAAGGTGAAGGTCCCAAAATTCCGAAAGCTTTTGCCAAATACAGCTAAGATAATGTTTCGAAAAATTCAAAGTTTATAAGAGCCTCTAAAAAGCACGAGTCGTGCATCTGGCAAAAGTATGCCATATTGATTTAGGTCAAAAGAAGTATAAAAAATAATTTGCTGTTTAAAACTTTATACAGATAAATTTGTTTTGTTTATCAAACATAAGACATTGATATCCAACACCACAAGTTTTAATCGTTCATATTTTTTTTAATTTTTACTACGAAATCTTCGGTCGAGACTCAGTCTAGACCTGTCATGGACTGTTACGCTGTATTTCTATAGCAAGTGTTCAGTTTCAGGAAAACAATGTTTGACTTTATAAGATATTTCACTAGTTTGAAATTTTCCTATTTTCAATGGCTTTTACTCGTGGGACAGTTTGATTTGTATCCAAATGTTACGATAACGATTCAAAGGTCAAATATTTGTTAAAATATTTGTAAAAAGCAGTCCTCTACATATACATCTGTTCAGTACAACAGATGTATTTTAAAAGACGTAATTCAGTAATTGGAATCGCGGGTGGATACAACTGTTTAAAAACAGGCACAAAATTTCTTTCGAAGAGGTATTATATGAATGAAATATTTGCCACTGGACGCTAAAAAAATAACAATCGGTCAATCTTTATACACAGGAATTGATAAATAATTTTAAAAGGTAAATAGTAAATAAATAACACTCACAATAAATAAAAATATAATCCACACTTTTGTTCGTATATAGTACAAATCATATAAAATCATATCTCCCTGTTTATATTTTGTAATCTATCTAGTATGAACATATTGTGTATCAATGATTAAATCGATACTGTTTCTACACAATCGAAATATTTTATGATAAAAACTTTCGTCGGTAAATGTCTTCCGGTTTTATGTAATGTTCCAATATTTATATAGTGACGATATATTTTGGTTTTCTGTCAAACATGTCTGTCATCTCTGGATATGTAGAAAGCCTGCATATCTATAAATTTTAATCATGACCAAAGAATTTGGAAGACTTCGTATAGTATTTAACCGAAAATAACTTAAAGGTTAAAAAAAAGCTTGAATTTAATTAATACGAATAAACTGCATTTACATGTATTTCACATTTCAGAAGGTCTGAATGACCTTTACAGAATACAGAAAAAAGACCCCAAAAATAAAGAATAATAGGGTACCGAAATATAACTAAATAATAAAGAAAAATGGGCCTAAATATAGGAACAGAGAAAAATGAGCTACAAGTTCAGAATTGAATACCCTTCATATGAACAAAAGTGCCAAGTTTAATTGGCTTCTTATTCAAGAAAACCTAGAGGTATTGAAAATTATTGCAATTTTTATTTATAAATGTTTTGAAATCAGTAAACTATCAATATAGTACAGATATGTTTATATGTTAACTATTGAGAATATTTGCCTGTTAATATTATGTATAATCTGTTATGTTTTTTAACTTATATGCGTATGGCTCTGGTCTGGCTGTAGTTTAAGATCTTAGAATTGAGACGATTATATTCATATTTATATATGATTATCAAAATTATTGTGTCAATTATCAAAACAAAATCATTGTAATAAATTACTTTGCTCTTATGGGCTCTTTAATTGGAATAAAAATATCTTATCTTATCTATGATCTACTATGGATTTCAAATTATGAAAAAATAGATAGAGGAATTCTAGTCAAAACAATATGAATCTTATATTAAAATTTTGTCGTTGGCAATTTATAGTTGTTATAGTAAAATTATGAATTGCCAAAGACAAAATTTTTTAATATAACATGAATAAACAAACAGCATTTGAATGTTCCTGCATGCGTTGCGAATATCTTGTCTGTCCAAGGGCAGTAAGTAAAAACAAATTATTTTTTCTTTTGATTTTTTTATGAATATCTTGCAAGAAATGTAGGCATGAGATCGCTAACAATGTTATTTATTTTCCATACAAGAGGAATTACTGCAGCTGTGAAATTGTTTTTCGGCACTTTTCCAAGACCTTATTGATATATATGCCTTTAATAAAAAAAAAATGACAAGAAATGTAGGCCGATGTGAGTGTGCTAACAATGCAATGTTCAACATACATTACATTTGAAAGAGACATTACTTCTCAGTGCAAAAATAAAAGATCAGCTGATTTCGAACTCTCCCAAAACATTGCTGATATAATCCTATGATATAAATATCATAACAATCCTACTAGAATTGTAGGTGTGAGAGTGCTAACAATGCATGCAATTTTCTATATGATTAACATTCCCAAGGGGCATAACTCTTTTAAAAATAAATGATTGTCACTAATTTTCGAACTCTTTCCAGACATTGCTAATATAAAACTTACGAAATAAATTTCATAAAAGTCCTACAAGAAATGTAGGATTGAGAGCGCTTACAATGCAATGTTATATATAATCAATGTTTCCAAAGGCATCCTAAACTCTATAAAAATATTTGATCGGCACTGGTTTTCGAACTTGTCCAAGACATTGCTGGTATATATAAACCTTTGATATAAGTTTCATGAATATTTACCTACAATATTGTAGATATGAACGCTTACAATGCAATTTCTATAGAATTTATATTTCCCAGGGGTATGCCTCCGTTAAAAATATTTATTTGGCGTTGATTTAGACCTTGTTCGAGGTATTGTTATATCAACCTATGATATACATAAAAGTCTGGTAAGAATTGTACACATGAGAGCGCTAACAAGACCCGACGGACAGACGCGTCGCACGAGGGTGGGAGGGAGCTGGTGACAAAAGAAATGCTGATGTACAAAACATTTTTTACTGAGCATAAATGTTTACATTCCTCTTGTTTTGTTAACCGATCGAAAAGGGGTATAGGGTAACTAAAATCTTGTTTAACCCCGCTAAACATTAGTGAGTCTGCTCTTTGCCTCTTCAGTTTGCATTCTTTACTTAAAATCTCTGGTGGCAGAATCATTCGGGTATTGCCCTTGTCGTGATTTTAGGCTATTTTATTTTCGCTGGGTTATTGTCTCTTTGACGTATATATCACGATTCTATCTATTCATTACTGCTGCACCGGTATTGTAACATGTGTAACGCAAGCTCATTTAGAAATTATTTATAATTTAAAATCACGATTAATCAATAGGAGCATTTAATGTATGTATTTGCCCCCGGTGTCCCTTTGTGATACTTGTGATATGCAATATGCGCCTTTAATTAAGTTTAATATATTTGTAAAAACCTAACTAGTGTTGGTTTATTGTATTATATGAAATTCATAAAAAAAATGAAAATTTGTCAACTGTGAAGTTACATCATACTTTGTAAGACATATATTTTGCATTTAAATTTATCTGCACAATATGCATGTATGCAATTCTATGTTGCTTGGCGAAATTACCAGTCAGGCATTTAAAATAATGAATACCTGTACACAAATCTTATCTAGCAAATTACTGCATTGCAATAGCCAATCAATAGTGCAGATCGATTTCCATTTTATTGTAAAAATCAATGGATAATTATAGTACACTCAAAATACTGCAGTAACCCAGGAACTATTTCTAATGGCAGTGTAGTTTTGTTCCTGTATAATTACCTGGCAAAGCTTACACAGCTACTTTAGTACAAGTAATCTTGATGTACAGTTCTAAAGATGCATATCAAATGTACATCTGTAAAGCTGTATATAAACTGTACAGCTGTAAAGCTGTATATAAATTGTACATCTTTAAAGCTTTATATAACTTGGACATCTGTTAAGTTGTATATAAACTGTACATCTGTAAAACTGTATATAAACTGTACATTTTTAAAGCTGTATATAAACTGCAACTCTGTAAAAATGTACATTAACTGCACATTTTTAAATATATGTATAGCTAAACTTATAGATTCTACTACTTCATCTTGTGTGATACGCTATCTATTTACAGTTTATATACAACTTTACAGATGTACAGTTTATATACAGCTTTACAGATGTACAGTTTATATACAGTTTTACAGATGTACAGTTTATATACAGCTTTACAGATGTACAGTTTATATACAGCTTTACAGATGTACATTTGATATGCATCCTTAGAACTGTACATCAAGATTACTTGTACTAAAGTAGCTGTGTATCCAGTAGTAAAATAAGGCCGGTACTCCAGTTCAAAAACCTGTATGATAAATACCGTCTTCTATCTGGCAAAGCTTATCCAGTAGTAAAATAAGGCCGGTACTCCAGCTCAAAAACCCGTATGATAAATTATGTCTTCTATCTGACAAAGCTTATCCAGTAAGTAAAATACGGCCGGTACTCCAGCTCAAAAACCCGTATGATAAATACCGTCTTCTATCTGGCAAATTAAGCTTATCCAGTAGTAAAATAAGGCCGGTACTCCAACTCAAAAACCTGTATGATGAATACCGTCTTCTATCTGGAAAATTAAGCTTATCCAGTAGTAAAATAAGGCCGGTACTTCAGCTCAAAAACCCATATGATAAATACCGTCTTCTATCTGGCAAAGCTGATCCAGTCGTAAAATAAGGCTGGTACTCCAGCTCAAAAACCCGTATGATAAACCGTCTTCTATCTGGCAAAGCTTATCCAGTAGTAAAATAAGACCGGTACTCCAGCTCAAAAACCCGTATGATAAATACCGTCTTCTATCTGGCAAAGCTTA